GGGAAGGAGAACAGGCAGGGTGGCAGAGCCGACCCATCTAGGCTGGCACTGTGTCCTGACAGGACTGAGCCTCCGGGACTTGGTGCCCTCTCCCACTGGCACTTCCTGTGCTATGACCCCACATGCCACCTGTCTGGGAGCTGTCTTCACCTCGTCATGGTGGTCATGCCACAGGATTACCCCTGGATCCCACTGGTGTAATCTCCTGGTACCTGGAAGGAGCCTGGGAGGCAGAAGGGTGAAGAGGACAGCCTAGGCCAGGGCCGAGGAATTTGTGAGAGTATCACAGCTTTAAATTCCCAGCAGAAATCAGAAAATCTGATCTTGCACATCTAAGAATAGCCACTGGTTTCAACTGTGAGAGGTGCCAAAGTGAAAGCTATAATTATTAGGAAGTAACAAGCAGAAATTAACCACCTACCGCAAAGTCATTTTTAGCTGCCATCTCAACGTGGAAATTGAAAGATGGGCACCAAGAAGCTGCCTGGCTTGGGAAAAGCTCTGGTTCAACTCTGAATTATTGTGGATGTATGAATTTCCAACGGCCAACAGTAATGCGTGCATACTAGTGAAGAAGAAGCTGGATGATTCGTAAGGAGCCATGTCCTGAGGTGCAATGTCAAACGCTCTAACTGAGCTCTCCTGACTTCCGCCCCAGTAAGACTGCATGAGCGCTTCCTTCTATCCAGCCTGGGTTCCCCTACTGCACGATGGAGGATATAACCTCCCTCTGACCTTCTTTACAAGAGAGCGTATATACAAGTGGCACTGGAAAAAACCTGAACTTTCAGGAAAAGAGACCATGAAAATGGATAGTTTCTTTCTAAATATCATGGGATGCACAGAGGCTATGAGAAAAGATCGATAGATGTATTAAAGAAAATAAACCTGTTTGGCCAAAAAAAAAGAAGGCCAAAAACACAAAGAAAATTAAAATGGGGAAATATTTTACAGCACTTATCACAGACATAAGGCAACTTTTTGACATATGATAAATGCTTACAAATTAAAAGGAAAAGCTCAGTATCTAAGAAAACAAATAGGCAGAAGCCTTAAACAGACAACTTAAATTCCATTTTTCTTTATCAGACTGGCAAAGATCTAGGATTCTGAGAATTGGTTGTGTAGGCAAAGCTGTGAGAAAACGGACAGTCACACACTGTTGACTGGAATGTAAATTGGTACCATTCTGTGGAAGGCAATGTGAGAAAAAATTTTATCAGAATTAAACACAAAATAATCTAAATGTTAATCAACAGAGTACTGGTTAAATTACGGTATATCCACGCAGTGGATTCATACTACACAGCTGTTAAAAAGTATGAGTCAGCCTCCTTCGTGCTGATATGCAACCACCTCTGTGAGCACTACATCCGGCGGATGGTGGGGACAAGGCACGGTGTGTGAGGTCTCTGGAGGGTGCACAGAACTGCTAACAGTGGCTGCCTGTGTTGGAGGTGCATGAGGCTGAGAGATGAGAAGGAATGTTTTCACTTTATGTCTTTTCTACCTTTTCAACTGTGTACCATGTTTATGTGTTATTTACTCAAAAAAAAAAAATTTAAATAAAACTGTGACCAAGGTCCAAACAAACCAAGGAACAAAAACATGCGCAACCCAAGCTGGATTGGCAACCAAGTATGGTGGGAGAAAGTCTGACGCTCTGGGGTTAGGGGGGCCCCCTCACAGGAAGGCGCGGACCTCTATGGTTAAGCATGCCTGGTTTCCTAGGTCTGAGCTCCCAGCTGGACCTTTGGCCTATTCCCTCATGTAGCAGCTGGAGGCTCAAGTGCCCTATTGGTGATTTCCTCATCATTCGAACACACATACAAGTGGCCTAGAGACCATGTGACATGATAGGCTGGAAATCTGAGATCATCTCAGAGTGACCTTACTTGCAAGCCTCAAAGCTGAGGCCAGCTCCACCATGGGCTCCCATCATGTGCTCCCACTACACTCAGTTCACCAGAATAAACAACCAAGAGAACAGGCCCACAACTGCCACAGAAATACCATGGCCTTGAGTATTAGGCCTTGATCTAACTCATTTCTTCTAAAGCTTGAAAAACTTACAGAATATGGCAGTATTACAGGAGCTGATGATGGACACAGGAAGCAGATCTTATCTGGTTTCCATGAATTGTCAAAAAATGCGGTCACTTTTATTTCAGCTCTCAGAGTAGATCTCAAACCACATATAGTAAAACCTGAGAGTTCAGTGGGAGCTGTCAGTATTCTTCTGAATTTACCTTTTTAAAGACTATGTGGATATATGATCTGATTCTAAATCCTGACACTGTGAAGATTCCAGCTGACTCCATTCATTAAAATTACATGTAACGCTCACTATATGCACATACATACATGTTGTCTAGAGTATATAGGCAAGTATGATACCTGCTTTCCATTCCATTCCACCAACTTGTAGAATGTTAAAGCCACACCCATTAAACAGCAATGTCCTATAGGCCACGGCAATGAGAAATGGATCTTACGTGATTACATAAAAATTCAAGGATAGCTATAAACTGAAACTTAGCCACCAAGTTCTTCAATGATCTAACAAGCAGCTACAAAATTTCCTCCCCAAGAGTCATGGCAGGCCACAAAAAGAGGGGCAAAGTCCCTGGGTAATTGAGTAAGCGGCAGCAAGATACCAGGCGAAGCTCTCCTGGAACCTGGGACCCTCAAGTCCCTAAGTTTTCAGAGAAACAACCAAGAGAAGCATTGCCTGGGAGGTCAGGGCAGCCAGCTCCAGCCCAAAAGGATCACCTTCAGCCCTTCGGTGTTTTAGACCTTGGCCCCTCAAAAACTCGACTTCACGCCCAAGTTAAAGACAACTCTGCCCCTACACCAGCAGCCACGCAGTTTCAGGCAGGATAACCTGGCCCGGACACTAAACGCACCCTTTCCCTCTCTGCTGTCTGCAGTCACTGCTCACAGAGGCGTCAGGAGCCTGAGTTGAAGCCTGCCTTTTCCACAAGAGAGCTGTGGAGGAGGCACCCCTGCTGCTCCCTGGCCCTCGGAGTCAGCTTGTCTGGGACCTCACTGGGTGAGCGTTGGCAGCAGGAAGGAACAATCGCACATTTGTGAATCACCCCTCTTTTGTACGTCTACCTAAAAGAATATAATTTGTTAATTTACGGTAGTTGTTATGACTCAATTAAAGATGCCAACACAGAAAAAGCTAACTGTGCTTGGCTCTGTGACATGCCAAATCCAGGTAAATCCAGCCATGTGTTCATGGGTGAAGGTCCACCGATGGTGTCAAGCAAGGTTGGACATCACATGATAGCCTTGGCGAAAAAGGAGGATGCAGATGGGCAACTGGTAGATACTAAGCACTTTTCTCAGCCAAATTTGGGCTTCCACCACGCACCGTGAGAGTGAAGCCTGAGAAGGCCCAGTTAGTGCTGTGCAGATTAAGTGATAAAACTTGAGGGGCAGAAGTTATCTTTTATGTAGAAATATAAACATGTAAGTAAATTAACAGCCACCATTTCCTTGGAAGCTCTACGTAGTGGGATTCTCATTACTAAAATGCCTACACGTTGGATTTATTTTTGGGATTTCCAGCTATGCAGAAGCTTGGCTGAGCCAGCTGACTGCCATGTGACACTGGGGAAGGGGCAATCATACCTGCCTTCCAGGCCAGTTTCCAGTTCAGCGCTGCTGCTACCTGCCTCCCTCTCTGTGGATTACCAGGAGAGCCATCGGAGAGGGCAGTGGGGACACCAAACACGCTGCCCCTTCCCTGGCTTTAATAATGACATCTGGGTCATCAATATTCCCATTCCCTCTCCGACAGACCCAAAGACTTCACTCCAAGATGTGCCAGGCCTTGCGCTCATCAACAATAGGAGACAGCTGCTATGCTTAACCCCACTGTACAAGTGAGGAAACTGAGCCATAGAGGTAAAGACAATAGCTCAAGTCTACCCAGCTGGTAAGGTGTACAGCTGGGACTCCACCCCAAGTCACTGGCAAAGAGAGTCTGGGGTGTAGCTCTCTGGTCCTTCTCCAGCACAAACTCTGTTCCCCGCAGGGCAAATTCCTCAGGAGTCCTTACAAGTCCAATTCAGAAAATCTTTCCTGATGCCTGCTCTGTGCCTGGCTCTGGGTCAGGGTATTGAGGTGGGGGTGAGGGTGGGTGAGGGGAATGGGGAGATACAGAGTAACTCATGGTTCCTGCAAAGAAGTAGTAACATTTTGTGTGTGTAAATGCAAAAGCTTTGAGTTCTCCTGATGAGGGGTGGTGGGCTAACCAGGCAAACACCTGCAGGAGGCTGCAGCCTCTGGCACAGCAGCGGGCTGTGA